TTTTTGTTCTCTTTCTGTCCTCCCTGCCACTCATCTCTTCCTCTGGGAGACAGAGGAACTTTAAAAAATCTCTCTCTCTCTCTCTCTCTCCTTTCCTCTTCTCTCCTTCCATATTACCACCAGTTGGCTCTTCTCATCCCCCATTTCCCTCCTCTCTCCTATTAATAAATTATTTAAAAGAACATTTATTTTATTGGTCTTAGCCGGGCAGTGCATATCTTGCAGGCGCTGCCGGTTTTTGACACAGAGGCCTAAATGAATGGCAGTGGCCTGTTAATATATTTATGACGAATTCTTTTCCCACGCTCGATTCTTCTAACCAGTTAGTTGTGATTCCTCAACTCAAAAGCTTCAAATGAACTCGAACAAACAAACAGCAGTGACAAGGGAAGCTCAGGACACATTTGCCAGGATGGAAATGTATTGTATTAGGCTAAACAGACTGCGGCAATGTGAGGGCTATGTGGTGTAATGAGTGAGTAGAAGACAATGGGTAAGGAATGGTTTCTGAACACTTTTTGGCTTAGATGTACAGTTGGCACCTTTATTTTTAAGGGTGAGCTGTGAGATGGGTAAATGGTAGGATTGACTTCCACCCCTCAAGTACTGGATATTAAAATGGGGGAATTGGCTGATGCCTCCTGGAATAGATTAAAAACTATAAAAGTATAAAAAAGGGGGTCTCTTCAGAGTGCCTTCTGTAGAGCTATTCGAGGTCTGAAATTTTAGAGTTCTGATTCTGTTCAGAGCTCTGATTCCGTTTCCTCTGCCTGGATTCGATTGAGTCAATTCCACAGAATAGTTTTGGTTTCAAAAACAGACATTGGTAAAAAATAGACTAAAATCTTAGTTATTTTCAACCTTAGCAAGGAAAGTTGGAGAATTACTTAAGTTAAATTAACTTAGCTGACTAACAGTGACTGGCTAAACTGACACATGAAACAGAATGGTAAATGGTAAATTTGTTTATTTAAGTTAAATTAACTTAGCTGACTAACAGTGACTGGCTAAACTGTACCTGATTCTCCTCTGTCAGCTCCTTCAAGTAGGTAGATGTTTTGGCATGCAACAAATATTACATTTTACTTTCTTTTCCACTTCATCTAAAGTAAAATACAGCTCCACCATCAATGTGTAAGCTGTGAAAGACTGTATTTTTCATACTGTCTGTGTAGCATATCATGTTCACACAGATGCAGGCAGACTTGCATGTCACTGGAATCAAGTCGAGCTTTGGAGTTTTGGGCTCTCAATTTCCAAATGCCTGGAATCAAAGAATCGATTCCTTTTGGGATTGATAGCACTACTCTTTTGTGAAAGTAATGGTTATATGTAGAACCATGACATCTTCAAAAAGCAGATGATCATTTTTTTCTGTCTTCTGCATCAGTTATTAGAATTGTATATATAGAAATATGTATATATAAATATATTCTATGTGTTGAATTCAGTTGCTTTAAGGTGCCCCCATTGCTAACTTAAGTGTCCAAGTGTGCACACCGCTAATCTACATAGAAAGGTATTTTCAATAAAATGGGGGATTGTGGAGCAGTGGAACTGTGCACTCTGGAGTGATGGAGTTCCATCAGATACCTATGGGATGAGTTGGAGTGAAGTTTGTCATCCAGAACTAATCATCCAACATCAGTTCCCGACCTCACTAATGCTCTTATGGCTAAATGCAATCTAATCCTCACAGCAATGTACCAACTTCTAGTGTAGAGCCTTATCAAAAAAGTACAGATTGTTACTGCAGCAAAGGGGGGCAAGCCGATTTGTGCTTGGTGGAATATTTTGATAAAAATGTGTTAGCTACCTACTTTCTACCACACTCATTCTTCCTCAGTCAGTCTGAAAATTTAGCTTGCTAACTTGCTATACTTGCCAAGAGATATAGTAATTGCAATACATGCTGTGTGATATAATCCTAGCTATCTGCTATCTCAGTCTCCTGCTTTATCAGTTTCTGGTTGCTGCCCTACCACAAACCTGTAACACTGTTGTCTGTGTGTGTAAAGTTAAATGCCAGTTAGCTTTAACCTGTTATGTTTTTATCAGGATATAATTGTCAGTCGCATAAAAAAAGTTGTTGCTGTTTTTCAAATACTATTACTGTATTCTTTAGGCATATTAGGGCTTCTGTTATACCAAAAAGCAAGACAGCAAAACCTAGAGGGCATCTGTATAGAGTCCTTAATGAATGGGGCTGAAAGCTAAAAACAAACAAATGTTTCTAGACATATATGTGGGACCTTTCTTTTAATTTTGGAAAGTAGGAGAATGTTTTCCATGTAAAAATTCAAAGACAGGTTCAGGCACAGACCTTTTAAAGGGCAAGGGCTCAAAGCGGGGAAAAGAGCAACCTGTAAGTAAGTTAAAGTTAATTTAATTTACAGAATATTGCAACCACTCCCATCAAGAGGGACAGTGTAATCTTGTTTCAGAAGGAAGCAATGTGTTCCCACAGCAGCCAGACTTCTATCCTGAGGTGGGTTTAAATCATGCTCTCTAGCGTAAACGGTTGTAATGTTATCCACTATACTACTAAATCATTAAAAATACAGTGGCATTGGTTTACAGAAGTCAGATTTCTGTTCTTTATAATATCAAAAACAAGGTAGTTAGTCATTAACTTAAAGAGATTATCAATGCTGCATCTCCAGTGCTGTGATGATATGTGCCGGTCTGAGATACTGAGGGGAATGCTGTTGGTACTGCACCAGAGGGGGTGCTCAAGAGCATTGATAATCTCTTTAAGAAAGCAAAACTTTCCGTAATTAAGAATAACAACCAAATGAAAAGCAGTAGAGGGCGCTAATGACTAACTACCTTGTTTTTGATATTATAAAGAAGCACCCCATGGCATCTATCTTTTCACATGCCTGCTGGAAGACACTGTTGAGTGTCATCACTAGAAATTCTCTGGTTCTGGCACAGTGTTTCACAAATTCCTGTGCTGGAGCCCCTCATACACTGCAGTTTTGTGTTTTCCCCTGCTCTAGCATACCTCATAAGTCATTAGTCATATCATTAACTAATCTTCAGCCCCTGATCAGCAGTGTTAGGTCTGAGAAAACGCAAGTCTGTGCAATAAAGAGGGGCTTTTAGGACTGGAGTTGGGAAATACTGTCGAAAAATGGAGCTGGAGTGTGATAGTGTGATGATAGTGAGTAGCAGCCAGAACCTGAGAGGAAAAGCTAGATCGTTCTGAATTGCAGTGCATCACATACGTTGTGTGAATGGAATTTAGGCTGGAATTTGTGTGCTGTGATTTCCTGCTTAAGCTCTTTCAATGATGAAAATGATTAATCTCTCTCTCTCTCTCTCTCTCTCTCTCTCTCTCTCTCTCTCTCTCTCTCTCTCTCTCTCTCTCTCACTCTCACTTTCTCTCTTAATATCTATGTCTTGCACGCTCTCTCTCTCTCTTGCATTCTCTCTCTCTCAATAACTATCTTCTATGTTGTCTCTCTCTTTCCCTCTCAAAATCTATCTCTCTCTCTCTCAAATTGTTTTTATCTAGTGGAAGCACACATCATTTATTCATCAGGACAACTTCACTATCATTGGAGAACATCAATAGCAAATGCTTTCAGTTAAACTCTGATATCCATGCTACAGCAAATGCCCTGGGAAAGAAATGTGCGTGGAAGGGTGGGGAAGAATGGGTGGTTTGTCAACTAGACAAAAACTGACAAACATCCAAACAGACACAATGAAAGTGGCTTGGCTGGAGTCCAGACATGTGTTCTTCTGCTCATCTTTCTCTCGCTTGCTCCCTTCCCCACAACAGACATGAATTATTGACAGCTAGCAGCTTGTGATTTTGTTGAAAGGGTGTGAGTGCAGATGAGTATTTACTAGGTTGTGCTAGACGAAACCCTGCATGTATAGAACGTATGTATGTCTGTCCAACAGGATGTGATTTGTTCTAAACAACCACCTTGATTTAGTCCTATCTTTGGCTACCAGCCCAACCTTGTGCAGATTTTACATACAAATTATGTTTGTGTGTGTGAATACATGTGTGATTATGCACTCAGCACTGAGGTGATGTACAGCCAGTGTACTGAGTACACTTCAGTTCAAAAACAGAGTGCCACCTTAAGATGATAAATATAACATGGAAAAGACCCGCTTTCAATAGCCACAGCTCCCCCTGTGATCAGTGCTGGTATTACATTATGTATCTTGCTTTGAACTGTTATAGAATCCCCTTCTCTTGCTCTCATTTACTCTCCCCCTTTGTCTCTCTCGCTTTCTCCCTCCTTCTCTTTATTGCTCACTCTTTCTGTCTCTCTCTCTCTCTCTCTCTCTCTCTCTCTCTCTCTCTCTCTCTCTCTCTCTCTCTCTATCGCTTGCTTCAGCTGTCAAGTTTTTATCTTTTTCTCTTGCATTTCAAGGGTACTTTGTTAGTGTGACAGTGTTTCAATATCAGCATTCAAAGCTCTCTCTGTCTGCTTGCCTCTCTCTCTCTCTCTCTCTCTCTCGCTCTCTCTCTCTCTCTCTCTCTCTCTCTCTCTCTCGCTCTCTCTCTCTCTCTCTATCAATCTATCTATCTATCTCTAATCAGTCTCTGTGAAAGCAGCGGGGAGGATAATTTTAGCTTGCTCACCCCAACAGCAAGTCTGAGCACACTTTGCCTGTGAATCCCGCATCTTGCAAACTGTGAAAGAAAAAATAAATATATAAACTTAAAAAAAAAAAATGCAGCCTAGTCTCCCAATGTGCTTTAAATGTCTTACTGTGCTAGCCCAGATAAAAGAGTAGATAATGTACAACCCCTTTAGCCAGATTAGTGGCCAAGAGTACTAAACTACTTTTTTAAACTGGAACTGAAATGGAAGATTTATAACACACACAAACATCTTTAGTGCTTAATGTCTTTCATCATTGCTCTGTGTCACTCAACGACATAAACATTCAGTCATTTTTTAAATAAATATATTGTTGCTGCTCAAATGCTGGGTTAACTCAACGCCCCTGTGTAATCTTTCTTCTAGCAAAGGGTAAACCAGTCCAGGGAGCACTAACGGGGGGCGTCGTCGGTGGCATCATCGGCGCTGTGGTCATTCTATGTCTGATTGGAGCTGGGGTGGCCATGTATCGCAAACGCTTGCAAAAAGCTGAAAATGGAGAGTGAGTGTGAACGCACATCCAGTCTATACACCTTCTAAACATAATTTTCTTTCTCACATCACCATTTCTGTGAAGTGTTTTCTCTCCCTCTCTCATCTAGAACCTCCAGTCTATTTTTGTCTCATCCTTTTTCCATGCATTCTAATTTGCACCTCCGCAGTATGGCAATGAAGCATAATGACAACTAACCCGACCCCTCGTATTTCTTATGCAATTAGTGGGCCGCCCAAGCACAAGCCGCCTCCCCCTGTGAAGACTGGCAGCTCAACTGAGATGGTGAGCTAACACTTCTGCTGTCAGTCATCTTTGAAAGACTTGTCATTTTCATATGCCAGTTTCTTTGTTTGCATTTTCATAATCTGTTGCATGTTCTACATGCTTAATTTTAATATGGAGCTAAAGTGTACTTAGTTGTACTAATACTAGCTGTATTTGCTTAATATTCAATTATAAACATTGCAAGAACTTCAGATTTCAAATAAACACTACCTCATCTGTTCTAAGATTAATTTTTTTTTCTCTTATATGCATGATTTTACCCATGTCACTATGATAACATAACCTTGTATCTTTGAAATGCTAACTTAATAGGAGAAGTTAAAATATGTTCTTAATTTCAGGGTATGGTAGTGTAATGAGATTTTTGGTAATTTTAGACCATTTTACACTGTTAATTATGTAGAAAAAAAAAACAAACAAAAAAAAATTTAAGTTGATATGAAGGCAACAATATGCTGCTGCATTTGCCAATAATAAGCAAAAAAGTGTTCTTTGGAATGATGCCATAGAAGAACCACTTTTTTTCTTTAAAGAACCTTTTTTGTAAATAAGATGTGTGATGTGTATAAAGAACCTTTTTTAAAAGTTCCCATATCTTATATTTTGTAATTTTGTATGTACTGTAATTCATTTTTACATCTTCTTTCTCTCTTTATCCTTTAGAATTAAGCAGACTTTTTGTTACTATGGCTTTAGTGATATATATGTAAAAGATATGATTGATATATGTAAAAGAGCTCTGTTCTGATTGGCTGCCTGTATTATGCATTATTCAGATAGCAGTCTGGGTTAAAATGCTTCTTATAACTACAATGTGAACAGGCAGGCCAACTGCACTAAACTGAACAGGTATAGATATATATAAATGTGTTGCTTTTAATGACATCACAAAAACAATGATTTCAAAACTAACTTTTTGCAGCTTTGTTTCTGTATATGTTTACATACCCTATCGAACCCTGTTATTTAAGAAATGTAAGGAAAAAGATTTTTTTTTTTTCTTGATATGGGCCCTTCAAAGGAACTCCACATAATGTACTATACCAGTTTTTTCTACCTAATTGTACATCCAAACATTTAAAAGCCATTGTTTTTGTAGCTATGAGAAAGCATGTTAAACAAGGGGAAGAATAGTTTTGATGAATCCAAGCTTCATGAGTTTGCCAAAAACGTCAGAATTCCCTCCAGTTTCACAGTTGAATGGAGCAAGTCTGATTGGTTGCATGCATCACACATGCTGTCTTGTCATGACTCTGTGATTATTTGATTTTCTACCAGACACTGACTTGCATTTGAAGCAGGTTTCCAATTCCCCAAGATACTGTGCAGTTTTGATTTTTGTCCAAACAATATAGTTGCCATAAATTTGCATAGAAATTGAGCTGAGGGATAAGTTGCATTTGTACAGCTAACCATGGGCTTTGGGGCAAAAATGGCATAGGATTGATTGCTGTGAAATGAGAAAGCAGTGGCCTAATTGCATGTATGTGTGTCCATACCTTTAGTGTATATGTGCATGTGTGTGAGTTGAGCAATAGAACACGAGGGGAAGTGTGTTATCACAATTTACAGCATAACTGTTGTTCAGCAATCTCAGACATGAGCCAAAGGCGTTGCAGGCATGATGTTATTTGCAATTGGTCTCTTGCTTTCATACTATATCTTTGCAAGTCAAAGAATAGCAAAGCAAAGAAGCCAAAACATGATTTCAAATAAATTGTCAGTCGTAACAAAAACATGGTGAAATGTTCCTAACTTATTGTAGAGCTTACACTGTTGCTATTTAGCAGTGTGTAGTTAGTGCAATGAATCGGAGACAAAAAATTGTTGTAAGCAGAGGTTTTAACAACTCTGGTCAAATTACATGTTTTAAATTGAAAACAAGTTAACATGTCATCTACAGGGAATAAACTTGTAGAACATGTAAAAGTAATGTATATGTGACTGTTAAACTAGTCAGCAAGTCTGAAGAGTGGTTATTTACCTTGCTGTTTATGTGAAGTGCTTGCTGTTTTCCAGTTCTACAGCTAGGCATCGAGCACATTGCTACAGTACTGTAAGAGTGAGCAAGCTGCTAATAAAGCACACGTTTCCCTGCATGCTTCCTGGTGCTGCCTTTTCCTTGCCAAATTAACAGTAATGTATGACTGGGTTTAGTCATTTGTTTGTGTATTTGTGACCTTTGTGTGTATGTGTGTGTACAGTTGCATAAGCCGAAGGACCAGACCATGGCAGTCACAGAAACTCAGCCCTTGAGCAACTACGCGCCAAGCTACTATGAGACTACAGCTGCTGAACCAGTCACAGTAAGAACATGATTTCACTCTCCGTAGGTCCTCATTCTGACCGTGCTCTAAATCACATGCTGGTCTTCACTTCTGAGGGAACATTCTACACACTCTGTAGAAAGTTGCCTTTCAAAAACCAAAGTGATGTGGCATGTCAGAGCAGCTTGTTCAGGCATTATGGGCTTTTAGCATGAAAAATGAATTTCATTCCCTGTATGCTAGTGTAATGTTAGAGTAAAAGCATCTGCTGGAAATGAAGCCTTTCTTAGTTCAGGGCTTGAAAATTACGTGGTGATATCCAACTGGCTTACAACCCCTGCTTGGACTTGGATGCCACAGTTTGCAGCTTGTTTGGCTGCAAACACTTTCTAACTAGCAATTACCACAACTGTGCAATAACAGACAAAATACTACTGACATGTACAGATGGCTTAATTCATTGTATTTATTTGTTATTGTTGTTCTGAATACTGCATATTCGAAGAGAATGTTTACACACAGTATGCTGCTTAATTTCATGCTGCTGTTCTCTGGGCTGGTTAAAGCAGGCACAGGCCCCAATTATGCATATGCCATATGTATATAAAATATCATTTCTTAAAGCATGTGCTCTTCAAAGCAGCACAAGTTCAGTTCAAGACCTTGAGACTAGAGCTATTACATAATGTTGTTATAATGAATGCTTATCCATTATAGCTCATGTCTATCAAAGGTAATGAACAAATTAACACCTGTAAATGAGGGCATTTTTTCCTACACGTTTTTCTTTTTTCTTCCTTATGAAAGTCTGAAGCACAGGACAACAAAGGACATGAGTGCTTTTTCTTTTAAAACTGTTCTAGGTGGGTGTAAACCAAACTGAGGTAGATGAATCAGTGAGGATAAAGACAATCTGAAACTGCTGAAAACTAGGCGATTAGAGCGTAAATGGCGTCAGACTAAACTTGAGGTTTTCCATTCTGCCTGGAAGGAGAGTCTTATAGACTATAGAAAAGCACTAAAGTCAGCACGTTCAGCCTATCTCTCGTCATTGATTGGAAATAACAAGAATAATCCTAGGCTACTATTCAGTACTATCTCTAAATTAACTAATAATCAAGCAGCTACTGAAGCCCAGATACCATCAGCATACAGCAGCATTGACTTCATGAACTTCTTCAATAATAAAATTGAATTGATTAGGCACAAAATTCAAAATGCGCAGCATTGCAGTGCAGTGTCCTATAAACCTAATCTAGATCTAGAGTGCAGTATAACCACTACAGAGACGCTGGAGTCTTTTACTTTACTCCAACAAACAGAGCTCGTCCAAATTATTTCATCTTCAAAAACAACAACTTGTATACTAGATCCTATTCCTACAGGTTTACTTAAAGATGTTTTGCCAGAAATAACTAAGCCCTTTCTAATTATAATAAACTCTTCTCTCAGCCTCGGGTATGTTCCAAAGTCTCTTAAATTAGGTGTAATTAAACCCTTAATAAAGAAACCTAGTCTTGACCCCTCTGAGCTATCAAACTATAGACCTATTTCAAATCTTCCCTTTTTATCAAAATATTTAGAGAAAGCTGTGGCAAAACAATTATGTTCCCATCTGCATAGGAGTAATATATATGAAAAATTTCAGTCAAATTTCAGATTTTCACCATAGTACCGAAACAGCGTTAGTGAAAATTGTAAATGATCTTTTATTATCCGCTGACAAAGGAAACATATCCTTACTGGTTTTACTCGATCTTAGTGCAGATTTTGACACAATAGACCATTCCATTCTATTAGACAGGCTTGAGAAACTAGTAGGAGTGACAGGTAAAGCTCTTTCGTGGTTCAAATCTTACCTTAGTGATCGCTTTCAGTTTGTTAATGTAAATGGTGAACCATCAGCTCTCACAAGAGTAAAGTATGGTGTTCCACAGGGCTCTGTCTTAGGACCCATGTTATTTACCTTATATATGCTACCACTAGGTACCATCATTAGAAAACATGGCATCAATTTCCACTGCTATGCCGATGATACACAATTATATATTTCAGCTAAACCAGAGGACAAAACTGAACTTAATAAGATAGAGGACTGCGTAAAAGACATTAAAGACTGGATGTCAAGCAACTTCCTTTTACTAAATTCGGACAAAACCGAAGTCCTTCTTCTTGGTCCAAAAGCTGCTAGGGATAATCTGCCTACGTTTACTCTTAATCTCGATAGTTTCTCAGTTGCACCAAGCACATCTGTAAAAAGTCTTGGTGTCACGATTGATCCCAGTCTGGCCTTCGATGAGCATATTACCAATATTACCAGAATAGCTTTCCTCCACCTGCGTAACATCGCTAAATTAAGAAATGCACTGTCGCTACAGGATGCAGAAACGTTAGTTCACGCCTTCATCACGTCCAGGTTAGATTACTGTAACGCTCTGCTTTCTGGCTGTTCCAGCCAAAACCTTAACAAGCTTCAGTTAGTCCAGAATGCTGCAGCCAGAGTTCTCAGCAAAACCAGGAAATTCGACCACATTAGCCCAATTTTGTGTACCTTACATTGGTTGCCAGTTAAATTCCGCATTGAGTACAAGATTCTTCTGCTGACGTATAAAGCTTTGAATGGCCTTGCTCCTCAGTACCTCAGTGACCTTATTTCCTATTATCAACCGACACGCCCACTTAGATCACAAGGTGCGGGCTCATTATTAGTACCCAGAATAAATAAAGTTACGTCAGGGGGAAGAGCCTTTTCATACAAAGCCCCCCAGCTTTGGAATATCCTACCAGTCTGTGTTCGGGACTCAGACACAGCCTCCATCTTTAAGTCTAGGCTAAAAACTTACCTGTTTAGTCGAGCCTTTGGTTAATTTGTTTTCCTAACTATGTCCCTCTCACTCCCTCTCACTCTTCCTCCTGTTGAGGGAGTTTTTCCTTGCCACTGTCGCCAAGGCTTGCTCACTGGGGGCGTGGACCCAGATTCTTTGTAAAGCTGCTTTGTGACAACATCTGTTGTAAAAGGCGCTATATAAATAAATTTGACTTGACTTTACTTGACCAGTGATTGGGGAAACTTTCTTACCCTACCTGAGCAAACTTAGTGCAATTCATCAAAATGAAGTTAGCATTTGCTAGCATGGCTAATGATGCACCATATCATGTCAGCTTCAATTAGCATGCAGTGTAATGCTTGTTGATAAGTAGGGGAATGTGGAGCACCCTAACACATTTTGTTTTTTGCTAAATCATTTTGAAAATATAATTTGAAAATATATTAGCAAAATGAGTAAAAATGTTACAGCCTGTTTCATAGGCATGGTTAAGAGAGTAAGGGAGTACACAATTAATTTATTACAGGTAGTACAAATACAATATAAAAGTACTATTGTTTGTAGTTGGAACCAGACCAAAAACATATGTGTCAAAATATTGTTAAGAGTCTGTGTCAAATGTGGCAAATTCATTTTTGACCACAAAGTAGAACAACAAATATTAGCATGGTAAAACTGAAATATGTTACTTTTACATGATATCTATAGCACATTGGTGATAAATGGGGACATTGGCCTCTCTCTTGATTACTATGGCAGGCTTAGTTGAAATACTGTGTTAAAACTAACCCTAACTAGAAACTACATGCTTCAGAAAGGTCCTGTATTACAGCCACCAGACGGGTAATTTCTAAAATAATATAAAGGTGAATTATGTCAAATGACACGTTTTGTTGATTTGAGCTAAAAAAAAAAATTCTTTTTATTTGCAAATTTACAGTTGTGGAAACAAAAATTTTTATGCAAATTCCACAAATAAACAGCAAATATGCGTTAAAATGTGTAAGGTGTGTTCTCTGTAGAGGATGTGGACCAAAATATGTAATTTGAGCACCCAAAATTTGCATATGACTATGCACATAACGCATTTTACAAACTTCACAGAAGACACTAAATGGTCCCTAATGTGGTGAGCAGCTCACATGCTCACACTAAAAGTAAAGACTAATGATTCAGAGTAATGTATGATGCACTGTGCTAACACTGCCAAAGGCTTTTTATGAGGATTAATATGATGAGCTGGTTATTTCATTTCCCATGATAACCGTGAAGTCAATTACTACAATAGTGAGTGTGTGTATGGCAGCCACACACCCACAGGCCCTCAAGGGACTCTGGCTGCAGGTGCTGCAAAGATTGAAGGGTTTCATTCTATCTATGTCCACATAGGCTTTATAGATGTTGCCTTGAAGCACTTCATTTAAAAATGAATGGGTTTCATTTCCAATTCTGAGCTGCGGAATTACAAGCTGAGAAGCTGATTGCAGGTACATGTGGTACATAACGCTTTATTTAAAATTACCATTCTGTTTGCACCAGGCACACAGCTCTCAGGTCCAGCCTGACCTGCCACCAGATGTGAATGAATATCTACAATAGAAAATCTGAGCCTTTAATGGATTGCGGAAAATGTCACAGCTGCTGGACTCATGCAAGTTCATTCCTACACAGCCAGATTTAAATGATGTTATTATCCATGAATTCCCAGCTAGCACAGCAAGACTGCACATTTAAAAATATGTTTAAAAGTCACACTTGGAGAGTTTCTCAAGACTCTGGCTATACGGAGGTCTTTCAATTGGTTTGAAATAGGAGATAAAAGAAAGCAGTCACCACTTACTCAGGCTTGTCATTCCGTGCGTTTAAACATTAACAGTCGGTTGCCAGTTTTTTTTTTGGAAACTTTTTTTTTAAGTATGTTTCACCTTTAGCTTTTAAAACAGCATGAAATCTGCAGACTGTGCAGGCCACTGAAGCAATGAAGAATTGGAGCCATGTTCCTTGAACTATTCAGTGATAATACATGCCTAGTGATATGCAGTATCATGATGGAGGCATTCATTCAATGTGTATAAACTGTAGCCATGAAATGAGCTTGAACTTGAACTCAGCAATGTCATTGAGACGTTCTTCAGTGAAGTGAACTTCAGATATACTAATGTGTGCCAGGAAAGCATTACCTTGTGTTTTCCAAAGATCTAAATGTAGATAACACTTCAGTCACCTTCCTATTGAAACACTGGACTGTCTAGCAGTATTTGTGACTGAAGCTTCTGCCATCTGTGCCTGAATGATGAACACTCTTTCTCAATAGGTCATTTAGATCTTTTCCTCTTGCAATTCAAAAGGTCATCTGGGCCTGCTGAGCATTTTTATACAACCCACAGAGCATGGGATGTTCATAGCGTAATTATGTCATGCAGTATACCTGTCTTGGAAGCATCTGCACTTGTTAGGTTTCTCCACTCATTTATTCTCCACTCATTCAATTTGTCAGACATCTATAGATTCATCAAGGAAAGCTTTTCCACTCTTTAACTGTCTAGTTTTCATGCTTCTGTGCCTACTGGAGTTCTTGCTTTTCACTGTTTTCAGCACATGATATGATTCTTAACTGCTGTAGGCTGTAAACAAAATCTGATAAGTGGTGCACTCTGAAATGAAAACCTACAGAGCACTGTTGCATACACATGTAATTTGCTTGCATAATTCTCAGCCGTTCTTCTTTGACCCTTCTGATCCACAAGCTGTTTTTGTCAACAGGGTTGCTGTTCACTGCTACTTTGCAGCTTTTCACAGTATTCTTTGTTTGTGAAAAAACTTTTTGGGAGATGCTAAAACTGGCACACACACACACACACACAAACACACACATATATATATATATATATATATATATATATATATATATATATATATATATATACACACATTAGGGGTGGGAATCTCTAGGCACCTCACGATTCGATTTGATTACGATTCAGAGGGCTGCGATGCGATTATAAAATGATTATTGATTTTTTTTTTAATAATTATCTTTTTTTTCTATTTTCTTACTGTCTGCAGACTTGGTGATAAAATGTGATAAAATGCGCCGGTACGGTGAAATAAGATCCTGTGGTAATGGATGACCACACAGCACATTATAGCCATCCTGCCCGTTTTCTTTAGTGATTTTATAACTTTGGTTTTGGTCTCGTGGTAGAGGGTCGCTGTGTCACAAAATTATCTTTGAGACGGGACGTGTGCAGCATAGCGCAAGTTTTGCAACAAGCCCTGTTTCTCAACGACTGAGAATTGGCGTGCAGACTGCAGGTCACCTAGCAACGAGGTTTCGCCAGGCTAGTAGCGAACGAAAAAGGAAAGGAGAAAGACAGACGAACATTTGGAGACGAACGACTTGATACGTTAAATCTGCAACGAGAGACTGTCAAACACTAAAAAGTTGCGAAGATGAAGTTGCTTCTCTTTCTAATTTTCCCGTTCCACCTTAAATGGTGCCGCATTTACCTTCGGCGCCTCAGTCAGAATTTAAGGTGGAACGGGAAAGTTCAGCAAGAAGCTGGCGAATGAGAAGCGACTTCAGCCTCGTAAAACAGCCGAAAGCTGAAAGACATTTTACAAGAAACTATTCAACTTTTGAGGAAAAGTTTTCTGGCGGAGATGGAAGAAAAGCGGCTATAGCTAAAGCTAAAAGCAGAGTAGAGTAAGTCCGCATTTTCATTTATATTGTTTAGTCTATACTAGGACATTAACACATACTGAGACATACTGGACATAAAATGTTGTGGCTCCCAAGGTGGTTTGATTGTTGTTGAAAGGACAAAATGTCTCTTCTTAACATTTGGGTTGTGACTCCTGATCTAACCTGGCTTTTAAGGCAGAGGGAGCCGGTCGGATTTTTCACTCATCCCATTGTGTTTTTGTTATGTGCCACCACAGACTGTCCGGGCGCTGCACTTACCCACTTCCAAGTTCCAGCCTTTGCGTTCCGTCAACATTACGTTATAAAAATTGATTTTTGATGTTGAACGAATTGATTCAGAATCGTCCACGTCCGCATCGCGATGCATCTAAGAATCGATTTTTCCCACACCCCTAATATATATATATATATATATATATATATATATATATATTACATATAATATATTATTATATTATATATATATAACTCTATATACATTCTATACCACACTCCATGTGACATAGAATGTATAATTGTAAAATTAGTGTGAAAGAGAACTTGGTGTAAGACGTGTCTTCCAAGGATGTAAGTTAATTGTCTACTATATCATCATATCTTCATCAGTTTTGTATTTGAGACCTAAACTTCGAGCCAGACCTTCTTTTTGAGTCTGTGTGTGTGACGTTAATACGAAAAGATGTGATCCGAAAAACGCCCACAAAAACAGACGTAACACCTCTAACTTTTACATTGCTATTTTAGGTTTTACAGGGTGACTCTTACATAGCGCAGCTTTAATTTATGATTTCCTAGTAAACTGGCAAGTCAGTGTATGGTTTAACATCGTTAGCATAACTAATTGTTTGTGGAGAGGGCTTCTATCCAGTTAACTAATGACTAATGTTGGTTTTTTAGGATCTTGATGATGAAAACCCCAGCAGCCCTGCGAATGGTGGTGCCCCCTCTGCTTGGGAGGGCTCAGGGCACCCTCCTGGGATGGATGAAACTGCCAGTGATGCGCTTCCCCCATATGAGCCCTCAAGCCACGACAACGTGGAAGCCAACCACGAGCCTGCAGCTGCTAACATAGCCCGTGGGGAGAGTTTTGTGTCTGCGCCATTGTTGGTCTAGAGATGCAGGCCGCGCCAGCAAGCGCACTGCCACCCTCCTGTCCAACCTCAGCTGGGACTAAGAAAAAGGTAGCCTGCCACAGCTTGGGCACCTACAGAAACCACCCCAGCCTAAATATGTGGTAAAAGAAATCTTTAATATACATGGTTGATGTCGTATTGCCAATTTTCATGCTTTAGCAGATGATCAGTCTATAACATCTTATGTCTGGAGCACTGTTAGACAGTAGTCATACCATGTTTTGACATCCTTTGGGGGTTGATACTGATCCAGTGCAAACCCTTATGCAATGGCTGATTAAGATCAGTCAGTTTGTTGGGGAAAATTTTGTAATGACAATTGGTAATCCTTTCATTTTGAGGTATTGTGTTATCTTCTAGGCTTGTTAAAAGATAAAAACATGGACAAAATGTTTGTTGGCCACTTTGACTTATTAGATTAATGAATGAAAAAGTTCAAAATACAAGAATTAGCTTTGAGTATACCAAAATACACTCTATTACATTGAAAGGTTGTATCTGTAACTTCTTAAAACATTTTTTTTGCAACCATGCAGTGCAATGCACATTCAGTTGTTGATATCACTTGCCTTTGCCTGTGTTTTCAACTTCAGTGATTTCAAAGAAACTGTCTTGTAGTAAATGCAATGTATTTCACATATGGCAAAAAAAATGTATTTTTATATTTTGTATTTGACCTTTTTATTTTGCAAGGTGACTAACATTCTTTTAATTTTTTCTCCCTAAGTTCTTAAATTGTTTAACTCTGAAAAGTACCAAAAGAAAACTGTAAATAATATTATGAGATAATATATATTGTTAGTCAAATGTGTGCTTGGAAAAAAGAACATCAGTGGGATTTGAAATGAAAGTGTACATTTTTGACAACTTATTTTAACAATTATTATTATCGTTGTATGCCAATATTTAAAATATAAACTGTGAGGATCTTCTTCTGTGTAGTCTGCATGACATGACTGGTGGGTTTTCTAAACACAATAGGCGCATGTCTTTTTGTTTTGTTTTTTTCTTTCATGCTTTGTTATATTCTTCATCTCTCAGGCCACATAAAGCACAATTTTGTAATATGAAAGTGTGGGATGGGAGAGGTTTTTAGTGATAGCAATTCTTGATAAGCCTAATTGGAATGCACTGATTGGCTAGTAGTATGGTTTGGTCACATCGTAGGTTGCAGTGTAGCTTCTGGTTTTACTGGTGGTGATACTCACAAATTGTCTTCATATTTGTGGTCTTGAAAGTTAAAATTGCTCAAAATGCGGAGAGACCATGTCCTTTCCTTTAGGATGCCAGCAGTACAGTAACTTAATTTGGACATGCTGCTACTGACCTACGTGACCTCTTCCTTACTTTTTCAGATAAGCTTGCCTGAGTCTGTATCAAACGTGCTCTCAGTAGATCTACAAGTGTTTGAAGGCATCAAAGTGTGCTTGTGCCAAAGAGCTATAAACCAACAGCCTGATTTCTCATCCTGTTTTGCTCTGCTAATTTGCATATTCTTTATGATGCCAGCTGGACTTGATTTCCTTTTGTCTTGCAAACACAACACACATGTGGGCCATTACTTTTGGTCCTAAAGACAAATGGGCTGGACCATAGCCACTAAAACATGCTTTGAGTAGTTAGAGATGATTTGATTATTTGTAGCTACAATGCTCCATATTTCCTGATGTGAGCAGTTTCAGAGTGAAACCAGACTTTGGATGAGGCTTCAGGCAGTTGAATCACATAACCTGTATTAAAACAGTGGTGATCTATAAGTGAGCTACAATGAGCCAAACTTGATATTAAATGTAGTGTTTTGATAAAGAGTGATGGAGACTTTTAAACATGCACATGTAAAATAAAGAGCACATTTTTAATATTTTATTTTAAACAGATAGATAGATAGATAGATAGATAGATAGATAGATAGATAGATAGATAGATAGATAGATGTACCATTTGCTTATAATAGAGGTAGTAACTATTCTTAATTCTTAATTAAAACTGATTCCATTTACTGCCTGATCCTCTGCTCTCTTGGAAATGGAAGCATATGGACAGTTTATGCAGATGATCACTGCAATATTTCATTTGAAATACGACAATCATTTCCTTTTTTCTCCTTTTTGCACTGTGGTGTTGTCTTTGTTTCTTAAAAAAACAGGAATGAATGAATGCATGCTGCATGGAATTCTGGGTAGCCCACATTATTCTCATGTGAAACATAGCTGTGACTTCACAGTTGTATAGGTCATTCACTAAAAACTGCAGTATGGGGTAATCACTGTATTGCCACAATTTCTTTAGAAGGTACATAATGTTTGTGAAAACCCTTTGTCGCGTAAAGTCCCTACATATTATACACCTGGGAATCATCAGGGCCTTCTAGGCCTTCAGAGAAGACCTAATGATTTCCAGGATCTAAAAATATATTTCTATAATTTTTAGGTTATTTTTTTAATAGAATTATCATACTTAAACTCTGCAAGTACTATACTAATACGCTTATCATCTTAATGTTTAGTTCAAGTTTTTTCTTCATAGTATTTATTGGTTATGCCTTCAGGAGCTGAACTGAGTGAACTATCAAAAAAAAAATTAAAAATCTTACTCTCGACCTTGAAGACCTCGATACATCACTGTTTGAGAATACGAGCCGTAGGGTGACCAATCAGTTGTTGGAAATTAAATACAGCAGCTCTATGCCAGGGCTTGTACAAGGTAAAATATGTTATTGTCTGTAAAAAGCTGCAAAGAATACATGAAAGGTGTCTTTTGCAAGCTTCAAATGTCTATGTTCAATGTAGAATGGCCAAAAAACATTAATGTGCACCATCTTTAGCTTATTGCTTATATACCATTAAAATCACATAGGCGCTAGCAGAAATTAGAAAAGTTGCAGAGGTCTTTTGTTTCTCTTTTTTTGACCAAATTTTAACAATTTTCATCTAAACTAAAGACATGTCTCTAACAGTCACGTTTCTCCACAGTTAAGCATACTGTCTAATTTTGGAAATGTTTGAAACTGAACATTTTGAAGATTGCACACCAGTTTCTGATTCTGTATCAGGATGGCTGTTAAAGCCCATGTCAATTACTAAACTGCCAAAAAACATATTACACATTCATCATTCATTAGATTCCCAACTCCTGTTCTGTTTCAGATTAAAGTCTGCGCCAGGCTTTGTAGCACACACTCATTAATTAATAAGCCCACAGTACTTTGCAATTGAGCACAATCACAATCCAGAACTGTAGTAGAAACACTGTTTCACTGTAGTAGAAACACACTGTTGGGATCCTTACTAACATTTATCACATATGCGTTAAAGGGTTCAGCTTAGTCTTTGTTTTTGAATTATTATTAGCGTTAGAGCATAGTTTTTCTTTTTCAGTATTTTGAAATGAATTAGTATTATGCATACCATGCATTGTTTTGCTTAAGATCCTTTAAATAAAAAAACTGTCGTTGTAAGAAAATAAAGACAATCATTATGATGTAAAAAAAAGGGGATTTTTGCAGTTACTGCAAAAGGTGCATAGCTACTGTATTTACTGTAAATCTTTGTGCTTTGTCAAAAGTTACCATGTCAAAAACACAGGCTGTGATTGACTAAAACTGCACTTGTCTGCCACCCCTTAGCTGGTTCATAATTATTGCCAAGCCAAATGTGCCTTTGTTTCTTCGTTTTTAGTTCTTTTATTGATGCTTATGTTCTGCTCCTTTACAATTCTAGTCACAAAAACACAGTTGACTGTACAAACCACCACCATTCACTTGCTCTCTTTTCACTCACATCTTTTTTTTTTCTTTTTTCTGGGGGTGGAGGGCTTTATTTGTCTGTGGGGCATTTATTTATACACATTATGAGAAACTTGTTCTATGTTTTATGGATCATTGTGATGTCAAATAAAATGTAAGCCACATTTTCTTTTTATTGTTTCTTTGGGAAAGTAAAATTGGGGTCAGGTAGAATTATTTCAGTGCTGAAATGTGATTGCCTCCTGAAGTCCATGATTTTTCTCTCTCTTTTATTTGTTTGCTACAATTTACTTATCATTATTGTGTCAAAAGGCATAGAACTGACTAAATTGTGCAGGTGCATGCATTTTAGCATGTGCAGAGATGTGATTTTAATTGCACTTGCTAGCATGGTTACTAGAGTGTGTTTACATTGTGTGAATAAATGTTCTTAGCCTGCTGCTCCTTTTCAAGGACAAGCACTTCACATCTAATGTCCCTGTTATTAATATCCTTTATTTGTTCGAGTATTATCACAATGAGGTTCTCAACCTTTTCAGCAGGAGCAGCCCAGCACATACACACACCATCTGGAAAAAACACATCAAAACGCACATATGACATTGAAATAGAAAATATGTAGGCTTCAGCTCTGCAGCTTGTGCTGTTCCAGTAAACTTTTTTCAAATTTACAGATGCAGGTCCAGATGTTTTTCAGACATGAGCTACTAACCCATTACTGACCCCAATGAATGAAAGACATCTGTATGTACCTTAATGCCCCCTGTAGATTATAGTTCTGTGACTACAAAGCTTTAAATAAGGTGACGCAGTCCTTGACTGGAGAAAATATGATGAATCTGCATACACAGTGAGCTTATGTCTTGGCATAAAGGTTATTCATGTTATGTAAAGCACAGCTCAGCTAACAACAATGGGATCTCCATTGTGTGTGTGTGTATATATATATATATATATATATATATATATATATATATATATATATATATATATATATATATAAGGCTGAAAGGTTTCAGCCTTCAGGCAGAGGCAGATAATTTTGGACTAAAATATTCTCGTATTTAGTGAAATTTATTATGACCTTGATTTTTACAAGAGCCCCTAGACCTCTAACAGCAAAACAGCCCCAAAGCATCAATGATACACCACTATATTTCACAGTGGGTATCAGGCTTTTCATTTTATCCAGTCCTTTTTTTCTCATCAAATGTGACGATGGTGTGCATGACCAAAAAGTAAAATTTTTGTTTCTTCAGACTACATCAATCGATTCCATTTGTAGTGCTGATAACATTTTGCTTTTTTCATGCAAGTCTACCAAAAAGCTTCTGGTCATGCAGGTGGTGTCTGACAGTGGATTTTGAAAATTGAAATCCCTAAGATTCAACTAAACTATGCAGTTCAAGAACTGTGATCTTTGGCTTGCTCTTTGCCTCTTTTGCCATCCTCCTCACTGTGTGTCGGGGAGTATGCTCATGTGTTCTCTTCCTGGCAAATTTTCCATGTGTCTCAAATATTTCATTATCGCACTGATTGTGCTTAATGGTTATTTTAACTGTACACTTTTTTTATAGTGATTTTCTAATCTGTGCAGGTTGATAACCTTCAGTTTTGTTTGAGTTGACAACACTTTGGTTTTACCCATGTTGATGGAAGGAACTGTATGGTCATACACAACAATGGAGTTCCTGGAGACAAGGAGCAATAAAAATAGAATGAAAAAAAAAAAATCCCCAAATATGCATTTTTTTTGTTCTATTTAAAATATTTCTTAGGGGTGCCAATAATTTTGCCCCACACTTTTTGAAAGAATACACTATTCTTAAGATAAAAACAACACTCTTTTTGAATGATTTCTATTAGATAAATGGTAATCAGTTTCTGTTAAACATTTTTGAGGATCATTTGAATTGTTCTATGTATCATTTATTTTATTTTAACATTTTGCCCAGTTTCTTGAGAGTTGCCAATCATTCTAGAGTTGACTATATGTCCAAAAGTATCCAGACATCCTTTCTAATTAGTGAATTCAGGTGCTTTAAGATGCACCCATTGCTGATCCACGTGTTCAGTTGCACAGCTTTTACAGTCCCCTAAGGAAAGCATTGCCAATAGAATGGGAATGGTCTGGAGCAGCCACACACAAGCCTAAGCTCACCATGCCCAATGCAAGCATCGGCACTGGGCTCTGGAGCAGTGGTACTGCATTTTTCTGGAGCTTCATCCAGTACCTTTGGAATGAGCTGGAGTGGTGGTTAAGAGCAGAACTAAACACCCAACATCAGTACCTGACCTCACAAATGCTTTAGTGACAATGCAATCAAATTCTTGCAGTAATGGTCCAACATCTAATGTAAAGCCTTCTCAGCAGAGTAGAGGCTGTTCCTGCAACAAAGAGGAGACAAACTCCCTAATAATACCTTTCAGAAGAAATGCTGGCTGTGCAGCTGTCTATGAACTTTTGGACGGATCTTACCAAATTTTACAAGGCATTTTCTTATTTGTGTCTTTTTTTGACTGAAATGCGACTGACCTCAACCACATGCATAACAGCTTGACATACCTACTCAGTCATGTTATGCTCTCTTGCATTGGCCAAACACTAACCATGCTGCAGTAATAAGCCAAGCTTAAAATGCAAAAAACCCTGTGATATAATTTTTTTATTTCTTTTGAGGAAGGACCTTGGCGATTATAGCTTTTGCAAGCACCCGTCACCCAGCATTCGTTAGCCCCTTTCTTAATTAAAGAGTTGGGTCTCTAGGCCCTGTCGCTGATGATATGCGAGCTGAGTGCGGAGATTGCTCTGTGTCACAGCTTGTTAAGTCAGAGGTGGGATGCACTGGGATGCGACTAGGGCCATTATTAAATGTAAATAATAATGATGTGCCGTCAACTATTAAAAGGGGAGGGGGGTTGAGGGGGGGATTTGCAAACAGCTAACTTTCTTTAACCCCTGCCTGCTGAGATGGTGAGAAGATTAGGAAAGGGGGGTAGAGAAAATAGGGGAGATAAAGCAGCTAACTGACCACAGGTACCAAAGAAAGAAAAAAGAGTGTTTGAGAGAATGTGAAAAACACAGAAGGATTGGTTTTGGTTTTCCATTCTGTTGACTTCACCTTTGATCTCTGTTAGCCTGGAAAAGGAGAGAGGTAAGAAAGAATTGATTTCTGTTGGAAATGAGAGAGAAGGAAAAAATGGTTAGGACAGAGTGGGGGAAAGTGAAGTAAAAAAGAGGGATAGAGCCACCTCTAGTGGTTGAGACATGTTTTGCACAAAGGGTTTGATTTTATTTGCAAGACAGTATTGCAAATTTGTTACACAGGCAAATATAAAAAAAAATTAAAATAGGGACCATGCAACTCATACTACAAAAACCAGCCATGTGCTGATGTAAACATTAAATATCATGGTAATTACATAATCTTCTATGATGGTTTATAGTATTATCCAAATATTGTATTAAAGGAGAATTCCAATTTTTCAAAATGTCTGCACAGTCCAGTAGTTGAGATATAAACAAAGACATTCAGAGTGGTTTGATGTGAAATGGTGGTGAAAGGAACCAGAGATTCTGATGTATACGACGCATATATAGCCATTTTATTTAGTATCTAAAGCCACCAGTGAACATACATGTGTTCTGTGTTTTTATGTGTAATAATGATGGTAAAATACTGGTAAAAAATAGTTTTCTTTTTAACACA